TTTTTTCCTTTTTTTTTTTGAGACGGAGTCTCGCTCTATCGCCCAGGCTGGAGCGCAGTGGCCAGATTTCAGCTCACTGCAAGCTCCGCCTCCTGGGTTTACACCATTCTCCTGCCTCAGCCTCCCGAGTAGCTGGGACTACAGGCGCCCGCCACCTCGCCCGGCTAGTTTTTTGTATTTTTTTTTTTTTAGTAGAGACGGGGTTTCACCATGTTAGCCAGGATGGTCTCGATCCCCTGACCTCGTGATCCGCCCGTCTCGGCCTCCCAAAGTGCTGGGATTACAGGCTTGAGCCACCCCGCCCGGCCGACAGGTGGGCCTCTTACTCCCTGGAGGCACAGGCCCTGGTGTTTAGGAGGCAGAAAAGTTCAACAAACACACATTGCTCTCCTTTCTACTCTGGACCAGGCACTATGTTAGGTGCTGGGAATGTAGGGATGAAGAAAATCACTTTGCTTGGCAACAAGAATTTGTAATCTAGTGAATCCTGTTTTATTCTTATTTAAGACAGTAGAGTTGTTTGTAATGCCATTGTGTTACATAAGACACATTTATCAGAACTATATCCAAAGCTTAAAATACCAGCGATATAAAGAACCTTAGAAATCATATATACCATCATCTTCATTCCACATAAAAACTGAAGCCCAGGCCAGGTGCAGTGGCTCATGCCTGTAATCCTGGAACTTTGGCAGGCCAAGGCAGGAGGATCGCTTGAGCCCAGGAGTTCAAGACCAGCCTGGGCAACACAGGGAGACCCCATCTCTACAAATAATTTTAAAGAATTAGCCAGGTGTCAGGCGCGGTGGCTCATGCCTGTAATCCCAGCACTCTGGGAGGCCTTGGTGGGTGGATCACGAGGTCAGGAGTTTGAGACCAGCCTGGCCAACATGGTGAAACCCCGTCTCTACTAAAAATAGCTGGGCGTGGTGGCGCATGCCTATAGTCCCAGCTACTTGGGAGGCTGAGGCAGGAGAATTGCTTGAACCTGGGAGACAGAGGTTGCAGTTGAGCCAAGATCGTGCCACTACACTCTAGCCTGGGTGACAGAGCAAGACACCATCTCAAAAAAAAAAAAAATATATTAGCTAAGTGTGGTGGTGTGTGCCAGTAAGTCCCAGCTACTCAGGAGGCTGAGGCAGGAGAATTGCTTGAGCTCAGGAGTTCGAGACCAGTTTGCACAGTGTAAAGATACCCTATCTCTACAAATAATAAAAAAATTAGCTGGGTGTGGTGGCACATGCCTGTGGTCCCAGCTGCTTGGGAGGCTGAGGTAGGAGGATCACTTGAGCCTCGGAGTTTGAGGCTGCAGTGAGCTGTCATGGCACCACTGCACTCCAGCCTGGGTGACAGAGTGAGACCCCGTCTCAAAAATAAAACAAAATATCAGTGATACAACCACTGCATGCACAGATAAGTTAGTGGCTGAGTCCCAGATCATGTTGCCCACAGTGTGACCGATGATGCATCTCTGAAGAGGCGGTACACAGTTTAGGGAGTTCTGTTGGTGCCCTCTGGAGATGTTGGTTCTCTCTCTGACTTTTGGAAAGTCAGCACCAAATTGAGTAGAGGGATTGTTTTAGTCAACTTGCCCTCCCAGGACCTCCCTACCCTGTGGGATTCTGCTGATGGGTGTGTCACCATCCACCATATTCCTGCCATATCCTAGGCTTCATTGAATCCATCAGCTATTTTAAGTGCGTCCTGAAGGTTTCCAATATGCCTTTCCTCTGAACTTCACCATCTTTACTAATGGCTTGGCTACTCCGGCAGCTTCTTCCTGTTGGCCCTCCAGCTCACACATCTGATTACTTCTCCTTCAGAGTCATCTCTTAAATCTGCTCTTTTCTCATCATTTCCAGTGTTGTCACTGCCATGCATCTCTCCTGAACCACTGCAGCAACTCCCTGACTCTTCTGTAAACTTTCATTCATCTACTCCTTCACCTAATCTTGTAAATTGCTGTCAGATTAATCTTCCAATAATGAAATATGTTTGTAAGGGATTTATGTTGTATTTCCTAGGCGCCCATCTGACTCCTATTCTGTTACCCAGTATTCCTATCAAGTAATCATCCAACCCATTTCAGTTATGTTTTCATGCATTATATTTTAATTTTGAATAGATCTGGCTATTATAAAGTTCTTACATTGAAGCAAAATATTTTTATTCTTCTATATACTTGTTTTATGGGTGTGGTTTCCTCCTGAATCTTTCTGAAGATATTAACAAGAAACTTTTCTGAATTCTCTTTTGTTAACTAGACTGACTCTTCCTAGAGGTCAGTTGCTTTACGGTCTCACCCTCATGCTTCTTCATCAGGCTGGCTTTCTTAAAATATCTTGGGAACCTTGGTTGTTCTTTCTTTCTTATTTATTTATTTATCTGTAGTGACCTCACTACAGAGCATGACATCAGGTGGAAGAGGGGGAGGATCTGCTACTCAAAAAGTCTAATTAACAGAAATAGACTGGATAGAATATTCTAATTGTTGATGTAAATACTATAGTGAGCTTTCAGTTGTCACTAGGATTGTTCAGCTTCTAAGTCATACTTTTTATGACAGGGAATCAGTTTTTCTTTTTGAAGTAATCCTTCTCAGAGCTCTCTCTCTGTGTTCTAATTTGAACCAATTGCTTTCCAGACTTACTGCACAGTTTCCATCCTGAGATATATTTTCATTACATTCCTCTCATGTTTCTTGATTTCCCATGTCTTCTTTTTTGGGTTTCTTAGAGAACTTACTTAGATCTCTTGGAATCTGTGGATAATAACACTTTTAAATCTTTGCATGTATGAGAATGTCTTTATTTTGCAATCACACTTGAGTAGTTGTTTAGTTGGGTATAAAATTTCAGGTTCAGGCTGGGCGCGGTGGCTCAAGCCTGTAATCCCAGCACTTTGGGAGGCCGAGACAGGCGGATCACGAGGTCAGGAGATCGACACCATCCTGGCTAACACGGTGAAACCCCGTCTCTACTGAAAAAAAAAAAATACAAAAAACTAGCCGGGCGTGGTGACGGGCGCCTGTAGTCCCAGCTACTCGGGAGGCTGAGGCAGGAGAATGGCGTGAACCCGGGAGGCGGAGCTTGCAGTGAGCTGAGATCCGGCCACTGCACTCCAGCCTGGGTGCCAGAGCGAGACTCCGTCTCAAAAAAAAAAAAAAAAAAAAAAATTCAGGTTCAAAATAAACATCCCTCAGATTTTTCAATGCATTTTAAAATTCTTCCTCTTGGCTACTAATATTAATTAGAAGCTTCATGATAATTTGATAATCTGTTTCTTATTCCTTTACAGATAACCTGTTCTTTCTCTGAGAGCTGTTAAGATTTTCTCTTGCTCCTTAGAATTCTAAAATGACATGAGGATGAGGCTAGGTGTGAGCCTTTTATCATTCACCCTGATGATATAGCCTTTCAATGCGAAGATTCATGTTGCCAGCTCTGGAAATTTTTTTTCTTTGTTTCTCTCCATTATTCTCCATTTTATTGCTTCTGTCTTTCTGGAAATCATATTAGCTAGGTATTGGATCTCCTACATTGGTTGTCTATATCTTTTAACTCTTCTCTATTGTCTTTTCCCTTTTGCCCTAGAGGCTTTTCCTTGACTTTTTTTTTTTTCCAGCCATTAAAAATTTGAATTTTCAATCTGCTGAATTTTTAAATTTCAACAATCAACTTTCAATATCCAAGAAATTTTTCTTTTTTAAAGATTACTTGATTTTCTTAGTGGCCTCTTATTTTAGGGATGCAATAGTTTTGAATCTTTCTGAGGATACTAATTAGATTTTTTGAAATTACCTTCTGTTCTCTGAATTTCCTGTGTTCTGCATCCTTGCTCCCACAGTTGTGCCTCTTCCTAACTCTGGGTAAGAAAGCCTGCCCTCCCCTGCTGTTTTTTCCTATGTTTACTTTGGCTGAGGGGTTATCTGTTCCTATAATCTCAAATGCTTTCCATGTTCCCAGAAATTTCTCTGAAATGTTTTTACCTTCATTTTGACTGTTAAAATTTTTCTTTTGTCGTTTGATAAAAATTTTGGAGGAGGCAGTAAATGAATACCCTTAGTTCACTATCTTAAAGTGTTCCCACCACTCCCTTTCTAAAGAGTATTTTAAAACTACAATATTTATTATTTTGAAACAAAATGGCAGCCAATAAAAGTTGCTTCCTAGATATAGCTTCTGATATTTTGAATGAATTTCCAAAAAACTTGTTCTGTAACTTTCATACATAGTTATTCGGAAGAGGCCTAGGGTTCATTGAAAAGCCAGAAAACAATCTGATCTCCAGGAAGTCTCCTAACTTCTCTGCTTCAAAATGTAATTCCCAAGAATGGCAGGGAGAATAAAATCCCCTCTCCCACTGCCAACAGTGACCCTGAACATTCTGGGAGGCCCTGGAAACCTCTGGGCTCAGCCCCTGGCCTCTCTCTGGCTCTCCCTACATCTTTTTCATTTCCTGTCTGGGCCTAAATTATAGAAAAAGAGCACAGTTTAGGAACAATGGTCATAATCAAGGGGTCTCACTTCTGTGATGAGAGGGCTGTCAGACCTCCTTCGGGAACTCCACCAAGAAGACTCTCATAACAACTCACTAGAAAAGGAGTAGGGGGACATTTCCTAGTGGGTTGTTGTGGGATCTTCTTGGTGAAATCCCTGGATGAGGACAAGCGAGCACATTACAAACACAGTGGAGAATATATACCTCAAACTACTCATGGCTCTTTTGGAGGAATGCAATATACAAAACTTTCTACATTCCTGTGTTCATTGAGTTTTGGTGATAAATTTGTATTATTTTATCATGATAAAGGAAACAGTGACTAGCCTTGTCCCTGTGTCCCTCCACAGTCTGCTCCCCTGGCCTCACCTCTTGGTCATGACCTGATGACTTCTGCCCCGTCAGTGTATTGTGGTTCTTTTATGCCATCTGCCCAGTAAATATTGAGTAAAGCAATAAATGATGAAACAAGTGAATGAACTTTTCATCTCTGTCCTTAGATTATGTTTTTCCTGACTTAACTGAGAAGGCAGGTTCCATTGAAGACACCAGCCAGGCTCAAGAGCTGCCAAACCTCCCCTCTCCCTTGCCCAAGATGAATCTGGTTGAGCCTCCCTGGCATATGCCTCCCGGAGAGGAGGAAGAAGAGGAAGAAGAGGAAGAGGAAGAGGAGGAGAGGGAGAAGGAAGAGGTAGAGAAACAAGAAGAGGAAGAAGAGGAGGAGCTGCTCCCTGTGAATGGATCCCAAGAAGAAGCCAAGCCTCAGGTCCGTGACTTTTCTCTCACCAGCAGCAGCCAGACCCCAGGGGTCACCAAAAGCAAGCATGAAGACTCTGGGGACCAGGCCTCATCAGGTGTGGAGGTGGAGAGCAGCATGGGGCCCAGCTTGCTGCTGCCTTCAGTCACCCCAACTACAGTGACTCTGGGGGACCAGGACTCCACCAGCCAGGAGGCGGAGGCCACAGTGCTGCCAGCTGCAGGGCTTGGGGTAGAGTTCGAGGCTCCTCAGGAAGCAAGCGAGGAAGTCACTGTGGGAGCAGCTGGTTTGTCTGGCCAGCAGGAGGAGGTGCCGGCCTTGCCTTCATTCCCTCAAACCACAGCTCCCGGTGGGGCCGAGCACCCAGATGAAGATCCCCTTGGCTCTAGAACCTCAGCCTCTTTCCCACTGGCCCCTGGAGATGTGAAACTGACACCTTCCTCTGCTACCTTGGGGCAAGAAGATCTCAACCAGCAGCTCCTAGAAGGGCAGGCAGCTGAAGCTCAATCCAGAATACCCTGGGATTCTACGCAGGTAAAGTGAGGGGCATGCGGGCCACCACCCCGCACCTTCTTCACGGAGCCTGGCCATCCCCAGGGCTGGTGTGGCATGGGGGCAGGATCTGCCAGGTTGAGGAGGGAGGCCCTTTCCATGGCATGTAGATCCCCATGGAACTTGTGGGGATGCAAACCTCAGGGCCAACAATGGGTGTTCTCCCCACACTTCTCTGCAAAGGCCTTCGGAGAAGCTTGGTGGCCTGGCCTGGGTTTCATTTGTTCAGGTGTTACCACTACCACCCTTAGACTTCTTTTGTTTTTTTTTCCAAGATGGAGTCTCACTCTGTCGCCCAGGCTGGAGTGCAGTGGCCACGATCTCGGTTCACTGCATCCTCCACCTCCCAGGTTCAAGCAATTCTCGTAACTCAGCCTCTTGAGTAGCTGGGATTACAGGCGTGTGCCACCATGCCTGGCTAATTTTTGTATTTTTAGTGGAGGCGAGGTTTCACCATGTTGGCTAGGCTGGTCGGGAACTCCTGACTTCAAGTGATCCACCCGCTTTGGCCTCCCAAAGTGCGGGGATTACAGACATTAGCTACTGCGCCAGCCCACCCTTAGACTTCTGCACTGATTCTACCAGCAGCTAGAGCTAGTGGCTGACCTGTGCTTTCCCCATCCCATCTCACCACCCTCCTTCTCCCCACCGACACCCATGTGCACAGCAGGCACAAGTCAGTGTTCACACCCACTGACACCGCAAGGAAAGGAAAGGAGCCCCAGAATATTAACGATAAACTTGCCCTTGAAAGCCAGCATGTGGGGCAAGCTCTCTGCAGCCTGGCCCCTTTGATATAGCCCCCTTTTTCCTGGGAATAATGCCTGGCCTCCTGCTCTCACTCAACACATTCCCTGCTTGGTCCCCAAAGACATTCGAGTTTGTACTCCTCGGCATGGTGCCTCACAGAGGCTGTCAGCAGCCCCTCGCTGTAATGCGCCTCTGCTGGCCTCCACCTTCCAGCTTCCCAGAGGGCCTCCGACCGGGGTTCTTTCCCCCGTGCCTTTCCTCTGCCTTCGTAACTGTCGCCCTGCTTTCTGTCTCCTCACACAGGTGATCTGCAAGGACTGGAGCAATCTGGCTGGGAAAAACTACATCATTCTGAACATGACAGAGAACATAGACTGTGTGAGTGCCCAGCCAGGCTCCGAACCGCAGGGAAAGGCTGCAGGCAGTGGGCAGGGTGGGGGGTCCCAAGGCTGCGGGGACAAGCAGTGCGCGGGAGGAGGCTTAGTTCTTCAGTTGGTGGCCCAGGGATATACCAGCAGCCACCAACATTACACGCAGAGAGCTTTCATATTTTAAAATTTCCGAAGGCTCTTTGGTTCTTGCCTCCCTCTCTTTTTAATTTAAACGAATACTTTGTTCATGTGTGCACTATCTTATTTCTCCAGTGATATTGAAACCTTTCTGTCTTTTTTAGAGTTGTTTTCTCCCTGTATAGGTTGCTTTTCTCCGTTTTGGGTCTCAGCCTTTTCATATATATACATGCTCTCCACACATGTCTGGTGAAGTTTGTTCACAGCTTTCTCTATCAAAAAACTGGCTGGAAGCTTTGAGCATGGTGCTAGGGTTTGTCAGCTACGGCTTCTCATGAGAGTGGTCTGGCTAGGCCGTATCACTTAGAAATTTGTAATGGCAGCATTGTTAGGGCCTTCCTCCTGAGGTGATTAGAGTCTTTGAAAAGGCAACTTCTGTTCTGTTGGAAGTATAACAAGTTGGTTGTCAGTGTTCCGGGAGCCAGGGTGGAGAGAGAGGGCTGGGTGTTTCAGTATTATAAATATGTATCCATAAAGGTCAATATTCATGTACTGTCTCTTCCTGTTTGCAGCGTGACCTTTTCCCTCCCCAAAACACACACTTGCGTCTGATGCTCTCTAGGTCAGAGACCCTCTGTTTTATCCTTTTTAAAGAATAAACTTCCAGTCTTCTGCCAGGGAGAAGGGACATTTCTTGGCTGTGCAGCACTGCAGGAAGAACTAGGGACCCAGCCGTTTCTTAAGCAAACTTTTGACCAGCTTATATTTTTAGTAGCATTTTCATCCCCTCTTCCAAAGGTAACCAGGGCCCCTATTCCAGGGCATCTGGGGAGTGTCAATCAGTATGCATCTGACTGCTTCTCAGCTTTCCTCATTTTGGCTTAGGGTTTGGCTCTTTAGAGTTTGCTAAATTAGGAAATTCTAACTCACCCATCTGCTTCCAGTGTCTAGATTTTGTTGCTCTTGTCTCCTCTTCTGTTTTACTTTGTCTCTGTGGTTTTAGGCCTTAAATTCTTTACTCTTGTTAGTGGGCCTGGGCAAGACTGAAGGGACATACATGCATTTAATCCAAAAGTCCCCAGCAAGGTTGGTTTCCCCCACCATGACTATACTGATGGATCTTCACCTAAGTGATGTGTGTTTTCATCCATTGCAGTTATTATTTTTACTGATGCTCAATACCTCATCTTTGGTCAGGGAAAGCCTCTTTGAGTTGACCTCTGAGTCCTTTTGACCAATCTATTAAGTGTCTGATTGCCTCCTTGCTTTCTGGAATAATAAGACATTCCAGGCTCATCTTCCTCCCCAGACATGGAGCCCTCTCATTCCCTTCATTGGGAAATGGTACGTACATAAAGACCACAGTATGGGTACTTGGGACCCTTGGGCATATTGTGCGTATTTGAACAATATAGCCTAAAGTTCATATCTTTTTTCCAATCAGTACATAGATATTAAGATGCTTTTATTCTGTTTTCCCTGTTTTTGTCTTCTGTGTTATTCTATTATGTGACCTCCACTCAGTCATTATTTTTTATGGTAGATTTTTTTTTTATTGTAGTAAAAAACATAAAATTTCCCATTTCACCCTTTGTAAGTATAAGTTCAGTTGTGTTAAGTATATGTACATTGTTGTGGAACCGAGCCCCAGAACTTTTTCATTTTCAAAGCTGAAACTCTGTACCCATTAAATGACTATCTGTTCCCCAGCCCCGGCACCCACCATTCTCCTTTTGGTTTCTATGAATGGGACTACTCTGGATACCTAATAGAAGTGGAATCAGACAGCATTTGTCATTTTACATCTGGCTCATTTCACTCAGCATAATGTCCTCAGGGTACATCCATTTGGTAGCATGTGGCAGAATTTTCTTCTTAAGGCTGAAAAATATTCCATTGTATGTATATGCCACGTTATTTATCCACACAGCTGTCCACGGACACTTGAGTTGCTTCCCTCTTTTGGCTGTTGTGAATAGTGCTGCTGGGAATGTGCTGTGCAAATATCTCCTCAAGACTCTGTTTTTAATTCTTTTGTGTATATACTCAGAAGTGGGGTTGGTGGATCATGTGGTAATTCTATTTTTAATTTTTTTGAGGAATCTCCATACTGCTTTTCGCTATGACTATACCATTTTACATTTTCACCAGCACTAGGGTTCCAGTGTTTCCACATCCTCATAAACACTTGTTCTTTTCTGTTTTTTTTGTTTGTTTTGTTTTGTTTTGAGACGGAGTCTTGCTCTGTCGCCCAGTCTGGAGTGCAGTGGTGCGATCTCGGCTTACTGCAACCTCCACCTCCTGGGTTCACGCCATTCTCCTGCCTCAGCCTCCTGAGTAGCTGGGACTACAGGCGCCCGCCACCTCGCCCAGCTAATTTTTTTGTAGTTTTAGTAGAGATGGGGTTTCACCGTGTTAGCCAGGATGGTCTCAGTCTCCTGACCTTGTGATCCTCCCGCCTCAGCCTCCCAAAGTGCTGGGATTACAGGCGTGAGCCACCGTGCTCAGCCCTTTTCTGTTGTTTTAAACAGTGGCCATCCTGAGGGAAATGAGGTATTTGGTTGGTGCAAAAGTAATTGCTCTTTTTGCCATTGAAAGTAATGACAAAACCCGCAATTACCTTTGCACCAACCTAAATGGTATCTCATTGTGGTTTTGATTTGCATTTTCCCTGATGATTGGTGATGTTGAGCATTAGTCATTATTATTAACAGTCAATGCTTACTATATTTTATCAACATATTTGTTAGTTTCTTTGCCAGATTCATCACTTGTTAGAATTTTTTCAAACCATTTGAGAAAAAGTTGAAGACATTATTTCCTTTTGTCCCTACCCCCAAATACATTAGTTTGTATTTCCTCAGAACAAGAATATTTTAGATAACCACAATGCAATGGTCAAAATCAGGAGTTAGCACTGCTACAAAACTATTATCTGATCACCTACCTTATTTCTGTTTCACCATGTTTCCAATAATGTCCTTTATATTTTTTCCCTCCCAGTCCGGGATAGAATCCATGGTCATGCATTGCATTAATTGTCTTGTCTCTTTAGTCTCCTTTAATCTAGAATAGTTCCTCGGCCTTTCTTTGCATTTAATGACCTTGACTTGTTTGAAAAATGATAGGAATAAATGTGCATTAAAAACGATGGGCTATACAGAGAGTACATATTCAGAAAAAGACAGGGAGAAAAGTGCTGGCAGTCTCTTGGGGAAAGTTTTACACATTAGAACTACAGGAGTTCCAGGAGTTCGGCCCTCAAGATCTAGAGAAAGTGATGCAAACTCAGTGGCTTCTATTTTACCTAGATGTCACAGGTAACACAGAAGAAACTGGAAAGAAGTCTAGTAAGGAAACCTATGAGAGGAGGCAGAAAGATAAAGTAGTAAATCCAGAGGTGGTGTTTTTGAGTTCTAGAAGGCAAAAGAAATCCTTACTGTAGAGATGCAAGGATCTGAGCCTTTGAGGCTCAGAGAGGTACTTTTTTTTTTTTTTTTTTTTTTTTTTTTGCTCACATCACAGAGAGCTGACAAATGGCAGAAACAGGATTTGAACCAATGTATTTATTTTTATCACCCAGGCTGGAGTACAGTGGCACAATGTCAGCTTACTGCAGCCTCAACTTCCCAGGCTCAAGTGATCCTCCCACCTCAGCCTCCCAAGTAGCTGGGACCACAGATGTGCACCACCACACTTGGTTAATTTTTTTGCATTTTTTGTAGAGACAGGGTTTGCCGTGTTGTCTGTGCAGGAGTTGGAACTCCTGGGCTCAAGTGATCCACCTCCCTTGGCCTCCCAGATGTTGGGATTACATGAGCCACTGCACTGGCCAGAGCCCAGATTTATTTGATTCCAAAGTCAGGGCTTTTCCCCCTTGCCGTGGACATTCAGTTTTCCTGTCTACATAGTAAGTGGTATGACATCTGCAGTCATCAGATCCTCCCACACTGATGTTGTGGATCTCTGGGCTTAAGCCAGGCTGACATATGTACCCAGGAAAATGTGGGGTGTGCAAACACAGCAGATCACAGAGCTGCAGCACAGAGAGCAGGCACTTCATGTGGCAGGAGAGTGCTTGTAACCGGGGGTCTGTGGGTCATGGTGCACGTACCCTTGCTCCGGCAGAGGTGGGCATGCTTCTCCCCCGATACTCAATCAGTGAAGAAGGTAAGAACCATCACAGAACTAGGGCTTTCCTAGCTGCTCTGTGGCCATCTCCAGGTACCCATCTTCTCCCACATTTAGAACTCAGTTGGCTGGCTGTTAGACCAGTGAGTGCCAAGGCTTGAGCCTGAGCCTGGCATTTGCCATGGTAACAAAGAACAGAGGCCCAGCACTTCAATCCCCCTGGTAGACTTTAGGTTGGCATGACAACTAGGGAACAGCTCATTAGCCTGGGCTCTAACAGAAGGGAGATTTGGAGTGGCAGGGGATCCTGCAGGGCTGGCCTAGTGAGATGCCTGTGCCTCCCAGTGGCACTGGCTCTCAGCTGCATAGCAGGGCACTGTGAAAGAGCTGAGCACCTGGGAGAGAGGTATCTGCAGCAGGCTGTGGAGGCTAGGAGCAGGGAATGTGCGACTGTGCATGTTCAGGAGGGAAAAGGCTGCTGGGGAGGAGCCAGAGTGAGGAGTAGCCACAGGGCCAAAGGAGGGTATCTTCCTAGATGGGGCTGGGCAGGGACAAACGGCAGGACGTGAAGCAGGAGGCAGGGTTCTGGCCTGTACCCCAGCCTGGGCTCCTGCCACTTGCTGAGTTTCTGTTTAAGGCCAGGCTCTTGTTTTTGTTTTAAATTGTGGAATTACATATATATATATACATGGTCAAGAAAACCTCAATACAAGCGATGAGAAAAGGTCTCCTCATGCCCCTCCCTCTGTCCCAGCCCAGCTCCAGGGACTCCAGTTCCTATCTCTGTGTTTGCTCTTTTGGCCTCCACCGCCTACACAAGAGCACACAGATGGCTTTCCCCACTCACCAGCTTGGGGCTGCATCTCTGTGATGACAGGCGAGAGGAGAGCCAGGTTCTGCCACTTCTGGCCCCTCCCCGATTTTTGGTAGTTATATGGTGCACACCTCTTTGTCCATCACCACTCCCACCCTCCCGCGTGTTCATCCCCAGCACCACACGCTTGAGCACTAGGCACAGGGAGCAGTTCTCCCATAGGCCTTACCACTCTGTGTACATAGTTTCTGGGTTTGTCACTGTACATGGCGTGTGTGTGTGTGTGTCCCCGCACCACTCAACTGCATCTGTCTCTGGGACGGGCCCCTTGACTTTCTCATGGCTAGAAGCCAGGGCAGGAAGGAGCACCTGGTGTAAGTGAACAAATGGGTGTACATCTTGGGGTTCCCACATTCCCCAGCTTGCAGCTCTCAAAGGGTCTCCAGAGCTGACCAGAGCTGCCTCTCTGGGAACAGCCAGAGGGTTGAGGGTGAGTACGGGGCTGGGCCTAGAGGCAGAGGGCTTAGTAGAGCCCCTCTCCTTCACTGAACCCGGGGGGCTCTTTCTGCCCTTGTAGGAGGTGTTCCGGCAGCACCGGGGGCCGCAGCTCCTGGCCCTGGTGGAAGAGGTGCTGCCCCGCCATGGCAGCGGCCACCACGGGGCCTGGCACATTTCTCTGAGCAAGCCCAGCGAGAAGGAGCAGCACCTTCTCATGACACTGGTGGGCGAGCAGGGTGAGTGAGGGCAGGTGATGGGAGGGCCCAGGAGGGCAGTGGGAGGTAGGCGGCCCCTGAGGGCCATGGGAAAAAAGTACACGCATAAGGGCTTTGAAACTTGGAACTCCAGGACAGTAGTTTGAGCTACTTAGTTTAGGGGTCAAGGTGTACCCACCAGCTTGGGTTCTGGGGACAAGGAAGGGGGTGTGAGAATGAAGGATGGGAACAGGAGGCAGGGGAAGAGGTGTGGTCCAGCACAGGTGGGAGATGAATGGACACTGTACCTGGTGTGGCAGGGGAGAAGGGGTGTGTTCAGAAGGCAGTGTGTGGGCTTCGCAAGTGGCTGTCTGGTATTATACAAATCGATGTTCTAACAAATCGATGCAGTGAAAAGCATGTCTAGGAGCCCTCTCCTAGGGGGAGGCGTGTGCCTTGAGGATCTGTGTGCAATTTGAGCCAGGAGGGGAGGCAGAGGCTCAGGCCAGCCATTGGAGTGCGGGGCCAGAGCCCTTGGAGGGGCACCTCAGCCATGGCTGCACTGATAGTGGTGTTTCTTACCCCCCAGGGGTGGTGCCCACTCAAGATGTCCTTTCCATGCTGGGTGACATCCGCAGGAGCCTGGAGGAGGTAAGAGTACAGGGACCTGGACCTGTTAGCTTCTAATATGCTCCCTCCTGTCTCTGTTCCTCAAAGTCCCAGGAGGCTGCCCACATCGTGAGGTTCAAAGGAGCATAAGACAGAGCGTGCTCTGAGCGGGTCCCTTGCTTCAGGCCTTCCTTAGACATGGTTTTGTGGGAAAGACGGTGCACGTGCATGCTGCCAACCAATGGTGCAATGCAGGCAATGGCCAGGGGCAGAAAGGGGCCATGGGGGTGCGGGGGGCTGTGCTAAGAGGCTGACAGGAGAGGGCCCAGAGAGGAAGGGTCTGGGGGGCAATGAGGGTTAACTGGGACAGTTAACTGGGTGGACAGTGGCAGAGACGCCATGCAGCCTGGTGGGAGGGGACAGTGTTACGGGTTCCAGAAACCAAAAGAGCAAGCCTGGGAGACCTGGACATGTGACTTGGCGTGAATATGTGAGTCTGCTGGTGCTTGCACAGCCAGGCTCTGCGCTCCTGCTGCGGTGAGATGCGGCACCTGGGGGCCAGGAGGCAGCCCTGCCATCTTGGGAGGTGCCCCCATCCAGTGCAGTCTGCTGGCTGCCTGGCCCAACCCGGCCAACCTCTCCTACCCAGCTGCCACACAAGCTTGGATGGGATGGCAGGGTCCCCAGTCCTCCTGCTCCTCACACCACCTTGCCTGTGGGGTCCTTCCGTTCCTCATCTCTCTTCTTCAGGACAGCCACCATCTCCAGCAAAACTGCCATTGCTCACTGTAGAGTCCAGTGCCCTGTCATCAGCCCTCTCCACTCCCGAAGGTGCTGCCACTTTTGGCAGGAGAGATGAGTGGCCACCTCCTCATCCTTGCGTGCCAGGGGAGCGGAGGCCCTGGTGGTGGTGCTTTTCTGGTGAGCATGTCGAATGCCCACTGAGCACCACACCGTGCAAGGCTCTCTCCCTCAGTCCTCGCCACCACCCCTTGGGGTTGTGAGAGTTAAGTGGGGCACTGTTGAGTACCAATGGCGTCCCCATGGAAGATGAGAGCCGAAGCGGGAGAGGTTAGGTGACCTGCCTGAGATGGCACCTCCGGTAAGCAGTAGAGCCAGGCTTTGCAGGAAGCCTGATTCCGGAGCCTGGGCCTTTCACCACACTGCTCTACTGCCTGGAGGGCCACTGAGGCCCTTCCCAGTTCTGGAATCGTGGGTCCATGAACAGTGGGGCTGCTGGTGGAAGTGTGAGCTAACCTTGACCTTTTATACAGTCCTCACCCTGCTTTTCGCTGCCCCTGAGTATTCTGGCCTTACTGGTCACTTAATTCAGACTGACTTAGCCAAAAGTCATGCTGGGTCTTTGGAAATATACTCAGGTGAATCTAGCAAGAAAAACTGACCCTTGATAACAAAAAATTGAGAAAAGTACTGGAGATACAGATGGTTCACAGAAACTAGGGAAGAGCTGCAACGTGGCCTCAGAAAGGGGGGCCTGGTGCAATCTAGGCCTCAGCACTGGGAAATGCCCTGACCCCTCACCTGAGGAGTCCCTGGTGGTACTCACCTTCCTGCTTCTCTCTGCTGAGATGCTGATCTGTGGAGACAGCACCTGCCTGGCCCCTGGCACCGATCTCCTTGGCCAGAGAAGGCAGGACTGACCATGACAACCTGCAGCGTGGAGGGGTGCAGGCAGCTACATGCCAGCAGTGAACACGCCGCGGGAAGGGAGGAAGCTGGGTAGCTAGGGTGGCCACGCATGTGGCCTGCATGCCCTCGGTATCCCTCCCTGCACTGGCCCTGGCATCGGGAAGGTGACTATCCCACCCCTCCCCACCGAGGTGGAGGCGGTTGTATGGTGGAAAATGTGGGAGGGGCTCACATCTTCTTGTCTCTCTAACTGGTTAGGGATAGGTGTGGGGGATCTCTCTAGTTGGATGGTGTCCAGCAGCATGGGTCCACTCTCACTGGGGGGCTACGGCCACAGTGAGGTCACACTCAGCAGTTGGGGCAGAAGCTGTGGTGGGATGTGAAGGAGGCTGGGAACATGGGCATGGGGTGGAGAGGCCTATAGCTGTGCTGAGACGAACAGGATGAGCATGGGGTAAAGGCAAGCCCAGGCCCCAGGGAACTTCAGGAATCGGGAGTGCCAGCACCTTCTAAGCCTGCTCCCCCATCCCCACCCCTGAGCCCAATGCAACCACCCCAGAGAAGCCATGGCACCCCAGGACCTCAGCTGAAGAACCTGGCCCCTTCTACCCCCAGATTGGCATCCAGAACTATTCCACAACCAGCAGCTGCCAGGCACGGGCCAGCCAAGTGCGCAGCGACTACGGCACGCTCTTCGTGGTGCTGGTGGTCATTGGGGCCATCTGCATCATCATCATTGCGCTTGGCCTGCTCTACAACTGCTGGCAGCGCCGCCTGCCCAAGCTCAAGCACGTGGTGAGTGTGGGGACAGGTGGGGCTTGGGGCCAGTGGAGAGTGCCCATCGATAGGTGTCCTCATCTGCAAGGGGAGGCAGTGACTCTCCTGGGAGCACAGGGTCCCTTGGGTGAAGCAGCTGGTCAGCCTAGCACTGCTGCCTGCTCTGCAGGGCACTAGCCCCAGGACAGGTGCTGGAGGTGCAGGGAGTGAGGGGGCTGCTAGCCCCACCAGGGGGCCCCTCCCTGGCACCACCAGCCCCTTTCCAGGGCAGGCACTGCAGGGCCTGAGCACCTGGATACCTCACCAGAGACAGGCCCTGCATTGGTGATGCCCAAAGGTCAAGGAGAGGCTCCAGCAGCCTGGAGGCCTCCCCAGGAGGAAGAGAGCAGTGCCCTAGTGATGCCGCCTGCCCACCTCGCAAGTAGAGTCTTCTTAGGGGGCTGTTGGGGTATCGATGACGTCAGGGAGACCACGGGGCTCTGTAGTGCCAACGATTAGATTTATTTTGAGAAAGGAGTTGAGCTGCAGCAACAGAAAAGAAGGATCTGGCACCTGTGGAGGCTGCCGCGGGGACCCTCTGGGTAGGGTTGCACAGACGGCCGCAGGCCTGGAGCCGTCTGGGGGCCGGCTCGCTCGCCCACGGCCTCTCCCCACCCCGCCGCAGTCGCACGGCGAGGAGCTGCGCTTCGTGGAGAACGGCTGCCACGACAACCCCACGCTGGACGTGGCCAGCGACAGCCAGTCGGAGATGCAGGAGAAGCACCCCAGCCTGAACGGCGGCGGGGCCCTCAACGGCCCGGGAAGCTGGGGGGCGCTCATGGGGGGCAAGCGGGACCCCGAGGACTCGGACGTGTTCGAGGAGGACACGCACCTGTGAGCGCAGCCGAGGCGCAGGCCGAGTGGGCCGCCAGGACGAAGCGAGGTGGACCCCGAAACGGACAGTCCCCGGTGGTACTCACCTTCCTGCTTCTCTCTGCTGAGATGCTGATCTGTGGAGACAGCACCTGCCTGGCCCCTGGCACCGATCTCCTTGGC